AAAAAAAAATTGTATGTATGCCAGTTTGGGGCCGGAAGGGGCCTGCGCAGGCTACCTTTCCCTGCTCCAGTGAGTGGGAAGGGGGCCTGGGATCTGGGAGCGTGGGTCTAGGCCGCGGATGACGCCCCATGGCAAACCCGGCCTGGTCCAATAGGCCTTGCCTGGATCGGACCATCAGACCGGCACAGGCCAGTTCGAGGCAGCCAGCTGGGCATGCGCAGGCCCCGGGGCTTTCCCAGGCCGGGAGGTCGGAGTCTTCAGTCAGGGGAAAGCAGCATGTAGGCTCCCACACATGCCTGCTGGGAGCACGGCCGGCGGGAAGGCAGCCGGTCCTTCTCAATATCAGAAAGTAAGGAGGCATCAGGCGGGAGACCGCCTGGATGGGAGCCTGCCTGTGAGTAAACACCCGGCGCCCTCCGTGCCAGCACCCAGGCCGCTGCTCTCGACTGCCTGCGCCGCAGAACCAAGGACACCTACCGCCCCCCGCCCAAGCCCACCTGCCGTCGTGCCCACGTCTGGCCCACCGCCTTCCATGGCCCCGGTGAGTTGCCTCCCAGGCCAAGGAGGAGGGGGTGGGAGCGGGGCGCAGAATCCGAAGGGTCTTGGGAACTCCGCAGTGACAGGGTTTTAATAAAAATTGGCGGTTCTAAATGGTGTGAGCTGATATCCCATTGTAGTTTTCATTTGCATTTCCCTGATGATTAGTGATGTGGAGCATCCTTTCATGTCTATTGTTGGCCATTTGTATTTCTTCTTTGGAGAAATGTCTGTTCAGGTCCTCCACCCATTTTTTAATTGGGTTATTTTTTGGGTGTCGAGGCATATAAGTTCTTTACATAGTTTAAGTGTTAACCTCTTAACAGATACCTAATTTACAAATATATTATTGTCCCATATAGTAGATTGCCTTTTCATTTTGCTGATAGTTTCCTTTGTGGTGCAGAAAAGCTTTGAAGTTTGATGTATTCCCACTTGTTTATCTTTACTTCTGTTTCCCCTGCCCAGAGAGATGTATCCAGAAAGAAATTTATCCTGTTTATGTTCATTAGAGCCTTGCCTATGTTTTCTTCTAAGAATATTATGGTTTCATGTCTTGCATTGAGGTTTTTAATCCATTTGGAGTTTACTTTTGTGTATGGTGTAAGAAAACGATCCATTTTCATTCTTTTTGCACAGTATTNAGATACCATATGGCTTTACTTATATGTGGATTCTGAAATGCAAAACAACAAATAAATAACCTAGAAACAGACTCATAAATACAGAGACTAAACCAGCGGTTGCCAGAGAGGAGGGAGGTGGCTATATAGGCAAAATAGGGCAAGGGGATTAAGAGGTATACTTCCAGTTACGAAATAAATAAGTCACTGGGATGAAGGTACTGAATGGGGAATATAGTCAATAATATTTTAGTGACTTGGTATGGTGACAGGTGGTAACTACATATATCATGATCAGCATTTTATAATATATATTAATGTTGACTCACTGTGTTGTATACCTGAAGGTATTAATGTCAACTATACTTCAGTTCAAAAATAAAGCTTGATGATTGATAAAATGTCTCCACTTTCTAAGTGCAGTTTTATTTAAAATTCTGCACATTAAAATCTGATTTACATAACAGTCTTTCATTTGTTATTCTGTCCTTAAAATGCTTAAATGAGATATACTATTTTTGTAATACTGACTGAAAATATGTGTCTTTTTTCACTTAAAGGAGTGTGTTTTAAAGGAAAGTTAAGCACAGATTTTTTTTAATCATCATTTTTAGTTTTGTCTTACTACTTAAGTTTTCTGAAGTATGAACTCCGAACACATAAGCGGTTTTATCTGAAAATGTAATTCTCCATTTTTGTTCTTCTCAGATATATTCTGGTTTTGATAGGGATAACTTCACTGTCTTCTATATAAAAGCATTTGTAATTATTCTTAGACTTAGTTTGCTATTTCATTATTTTTGTAAATGTGTTGACTGAGCACTTTGAATTTAAAATTGTCATTTATTATCTTTAGGCTCCCTGGAGATTCACGAACAAGAATAGGATTCATGACCTTTGATAGCACTGTTCATTTCTACAATTTACAAGAAGGAGTATCACAGCCTCAAATGTTGATTGTATCTGATATAGATGGTAAGCAGTGAATAAAATAAGACTTTCTAGCTGTGGACTTCGGAATTGAGACAACTTTATTTGACACCATATATCATAATGCTGTAAGGATAATTTAGTGCACTTTGTTTTTTAAAAAAATAATAGTTTACTAAAAAACACTTGATTCTAAGATTTTTACACCTGTGTGTGCTTCTGTATGCACACACACAGGCATACACATGTGTATAATACATACAGAGTATATATAATTAATAAAGCAATATTATAGTACCCATTATATGTATGGCTTGATAAAAGCTAAGATTTTTAAATTTATTATATTCTTTTGACTTATCTGTTGATTAAAATATGTTTTCCCTATAGATGTTTTTCTACCTACACCGGATAGCTTACTTGTGAATCTATATGAAAGTAAAGAGGTGAGATTGATCTTTTCTTAAAGTTGTAAAATACATGTTACTTCATCGGTTTACTAAAATGCGTAATGTTTCTTTACTTAGTATAATAATATAGCGGTAGACAGTATAGGTAACATATCTGTTGACTTCTCAGTTTATAGTCCCCCAAAATGTAGTGGCACATCTTATACTCTGCAGTGTTTTGAAGAAGAATATTGCCTTGACTTCTCAGTAATTCAACTTTTAATCTTTGTTTTCCCAGCTTATAAAGGACCTACTGAATGCATTACCAAATATGTTCACCAACACAAGAGAAACACACAGTGCCCTTGGTCCCGCACTTCAGGCTGCCTTTAAATTAATGTCTCCAACAGGCGGCCGTGTGTCTGTATTTCAGACACAGTTACCTTCCTTGGGTGCAGGGCTTCTGCAGTCTAGAGAAGATCCTAATCAGAGGTCGAGCACAAAGGTATTCTGTCTTATTTCTCTGTCAAAATATCCAGAGTGGTATTTTGTATTTCTGTAAATTGTGTAATTATTTGACTTTTCTATTTCATTAATAGCAAAAAACTTAGTAAGAATTTAACTTGAATTATTGCTTTGGCTTTGTATTGCAGTGTGTTCTCTTTATTACCTTATTTGCAGGGCAGAAATTTGGAAGTCATCTAACTCCTTCATTTTAGAGATGAGGAAACAGATTAAACTGTCTTGCCAAAGGTTAAATTACTTCAGTGGTAGAGATGTGACTTGATTTTCTGTTTCTGGTGCTTTTTTCTATTACACAAGTGATAATACTTAGTAAATCTGAGATACTATAATTTAACATGCTTGTACTAATAAACTTTTAAGTTATACAGGCAATACAAACTGTAAACGTGTATATAAATAAATAAAACAAATCTTTAATAACCTCAAGATAAGAGCATTTAGTTATACAAACACACATAAATAAGCATAATTGGGCATCATACATAGATACTATATTTTTTAACTGACTTTTCATTGGAGAGTTTAGTGTGAACATTTTCTGAGATTCCTAAAAATTATCTTTAAAAAATATTTTTTTGTAAATGTGTTAAGTACTTGATTTAATTAATCACCTTCTACCTACTGAATAATTATCACCAGGGTTTTCACTATTTAAAAGAAAAGAATATGAGGCTGAATATTAATTATTTGGGTCTTATATGAAGATTTGGTCAGGGTATTTTAATCTCATTTCAAATAATAAATGAAAGAGAACAATCGTTTTTGTTCTGTATATGTTTTGTCTGCCCTCAACTTAGATACAAGAAAATGCTACAAATAATAATGAGTATGAATTAAACAATTTTAATACCATCATGAACCTTTAGCAACATACTCAGTTTTTCTTCAGGATAAATCCCTAGAAGTGAAATTATTGGGTCAAAAAGCATATTTTTATTTCAGATATTAATGCATTTTACTTATTGGAGTTTTTTTTATCAACCTGTTCTCTTAAGGACTTTGATCTTCTAGCCACCATTAAGTATTGTTGCTTTATTCTTCACCAGTTTGCTGGAGAAAAATAGCACCATATTTTACTTTTTATAGAAACTGTATGTTTAAGGTACTTTTGAGAAACTAATTTTAAAATAAATTGGGGCAAGATAGTTTTTAAATTCATCAAAAAGTACAGCTAGCATTCAGTTCATTGATCCATTGCAGTCCTTTATAGAATACTGAGGTGTTTTTGTACACAGGATGGTGTTTTATGTTTACTGAATTCTTTGATACAGTTTTGTTTTTCTCTCCTTTAATTATCAGAAATATTCTCTATCCTGCTGGGACTCAAAAGCTTAAGTATTTGTTCTGGTTTATGTGTTCTTTTGAATCTCAGTAAACTCTAGTATAATAATTATATACTGTAATGAAGAGGATTGAAACCTTTTGCTGTGCAATGCAGCACAGTGATTAAGAACTTGGAGCCTGGTTCTTAGAATTTTAACTTGATCTCCAGTGGCACCTTCTCAGCTCAAGTGTTCTCACACCCATAGGAAAAACCTTCCTTAATCTACTGAATGCTCATGCTGCTACGTAATAGTAAATAATAATGGTTAATAGCTCACTCTGGAGCCAGACTTCTTGGGTTTCTATTTCAGACACCACCAATAAATATGGGTTAAATTACTTAATTTTTGGCCTCAGTTTCCTCATCTGTCAAATGTAGATAACACTATGAGATACATGTTTTTATGAGAGTTAAATAATTTAATGTATATAACACACTTGAGCAATGCTAGCACATTAAGCACTTTATAAATGTAAGCAAATATTACTCTTATAGGAAATCTGTACCAACTGCCTAGATTTTTTTTTCCAGCCTAGTTTTTTTAAAACTTTTCAGCTTGATAGGGGCAGAGGATATACTCCTCCACATTCTAGGAGAGCCGTAGGAATATGTGCATAATTAAAAATTTCTATCTCTTATTTAATGACCTGTTGAGTTAGGTTATACATACAGCATCTTGGCCCTGCAACTGATTTTTATAAGAAACTTGCTTTAGATTGCTCAGGGCAGCAGACGGCAGTGGATCTGTTCCTTTTGAGTTCACAGTATTCTGATCTTGCTTCTCTAGATAAGGAGTCTTTATCTGTTTACATAAATATTTTTAGTATATAATTAAATCTAAACTCTTTAGTAATAGCTCTCAACACTTGAGGGAGAAAGGCACGTGAATTATATACATCATATCTATGGAAATTACCAGTACACTTTAAAACACTATGCAAATATAAAATTCTTTTACTATTTGTTTTTAAATCCAATTCCCTTTATTCTCCTCCACAATAGACCTTATCATACATTATATTTTATAAATGTTTTCTCAGATTTATATATTCTTATTTTGACAGGTTAGGTTTTCCCATTATGACTAAGATTGCATCATAATATAGAATCTGTACTACTGTTGGACAAGTAGAATATTATTATTTCTGTAGCTGATACTTTTTATATTTCTCTCTCAAGCTTGCATGTCCAAGTATTCTGCAGGTTGCATCTATTATTATCCATCTTTCCACTACACCCACAATCCTTCACAAGCAGAAAAGTTACAAAAAGACTTAAAGCGATATCTCACAAGAAAAATTGGATTTGAAGCTGTAATGAGAATAAGGTGCACTAAAGGTATGAAATTATAGAAATTATATGCTTTCATCAAAATTAACTTCCTGTGATTACCTATAAAGATCATTCACCATAAAGGACTTTTTGCTTGATTCAGTTAGCTGTAACCTGTTTTAAATATGTACAGGTATTAAATAATCAACACCAATTTTTTAAAGTAATCTGAATAAATGGGCAAAAGTAATATTGTGATTTATGAGGAAGAACTTAAGAAAAGGCCACATTGGGGGTGATTTTAGAAGGAGAATTAGAGGACTACGAGAGATCTTAAGTGAAAATGGTCAAATTACTAATCTTCACCTTCATAATCATTCAAATAGTCTTCAATTTACATTACCTCTGTTTTCTGTGAATGTTTGCTGGAGAGATTTGGATCCCTCATTTTAATTCTTAAATGGTGGAACAGTATCCCTCATTTAATTTTGTATGTTTGTCTGACTTCAAATCACATGGGAAAATTATAAGATTAGTTATCAATACTAATACCAATTTGTGAAACATGTAGTCTTCCTTTTATATAACCTGCATTGGTTTTTTTAAATCAGTATTTTAGAACACCTGCCAAAACCCCAATCTACTCTCTCGTTATCCTTGTGATTCAGGATCAGAGACTTTTTCTTACTTTGAAATGTAGCTTTAGCCTGAAGTGAAGATGCTACTGTTACCCCATCTTCTATAACAAGTTTTCTCATCCCTAGGTCTTTCAATGCACACTTTTCATGGAAACTTCTTTGTCCGTTCCACTGATTTGTTATCTCTCGCCAACATCAATCCTGATGCTGGATTTGCAGTACAGCTGTCAATTGAAGAAAGTTTGACAGATACTTCCTTAGTGTGCTTCCAAACAGCCCTACTATATACATCAAGCAAAGGTAATGTTTACAGAAATGAGATACAACCTGCAGCAGTAATTCCCTCTCCTTTCACATGCTGGAGAAAATGGGGGAAAGAAGGAACGTACGGTTTTGAAGTAATGGAATTTGCATTAATCAAATATGTGTTCCATTCTTTTTTAACTCATTTTTTCAATCTCTAAATAATACCTTTTTTTGACTCATGGAAGACTTATATTCCTAGAATCGTATGTGTCCTGTAAACAACTCATGTTAAATCCAGCTGTGCCATGCCATCCTTAGAATTATTTCTTGCCCCTATAAAAAATAAAAAATTCTGCAAAGCACTTAAAGCCTGCATTTATTATTTGACAGTCTTTAAGTTTTTTAACATTTTACTATGTTGGATATAATTTAAAATGAGTTATATTAAAATAAAAAATAAAGCCTAATATTCAACTGCATACAAAATATATATTGAGTCTGTCTTCAGATTTCAAGAGTATTTAATTTTCCTTAAAGCATGTTAATTGTGAAACTTCGTTTTTGCACTTCAAAGTCCTGTTAGTGATTAAATCCAATCAAAATAACAACTTGAATGTTTAAAAATATTTTTAAAATACTAAAAAAATTTAAAAATCAAAATGAAAAATCATAAAAAATATGTTTGCTTTTTTTTTTCTTGGTCTAACGTATTTTGCAGTGACAGTTACTCATCATTTCATTTAGGTGAGCGGAGAATTCGAGTGCATACTCTCTGTTTGCCTGTAGTAATTTCACTAGCAGATGTTTATGCAGGAGTGGATGTACAAGCTGCCATCTGCCTTCTGGCAAACATGGGTGAGTAAAAAAGTGAAGGAGCAGGTGAAATGTACTTTTCTATCCTAAAAACGGAAGCCTTAGCATTTTTACCCTAGAATACCTTATTTAAAAAGTGTATGCTTTACATTTTCATTTACAGCAGTGTGTTTGACTATTACAATTCTTATTCATTCTTTACTTTAAAAATCTTTTGGAGGGGGTTCATAATCACTAAAAGCTGATAACAACCCAAATGTCCTTCAGCTGATGAATGTATGAGCAAACTGGTTCATCCATACAATGAAATACAACTCAGCAGCAAAAAGGAATGAACTGTTGATATGTAAACAGACATGATAGCTCTCAAAGGCATTATGCTAAGTGAAAAGAAGCTGGACACAAAAGCTACCTACCTATATGATTCCACATATATGACATCCTGGAAAAGGAAAAATTATAGGGATGAACAATAAATCAGTGATTATCTGAGTTTAGGGCAGGGGAGGATTTTACTGCAAAGGGGGCAGCACAAGTAGATATTTTTGGGTTGATGGAACTATTGTGTATCTTGATTGTGGTAGTAATTACAGGGCTATCTGTACATTTAATGTATAGCCACCATAGAACGAAACTCAAAAAAGTAAATTTTACCCTATGTAAGTTTTAAAAAATCCTTTGGGGAATTAATATAGTGCTGAGTGTTTTGTTTTTAATGAGTTTGTCTTTTAGATGATTTAGACATGAAATGAACCTTTTTATTTACCATGTAGTCCTGGGGAAAATACTCACTATTACTCTTTTTTGGGAAAAATTATATTTACTAAAGGTTCCCAGTGTTTTTATTATCATTTTATGTCTGTATTTCAAATTAATTATACCATTACTGATAGTTTTCAACGTAATTTTATTTTTAATACTTGGGCATATGTATAAAGTGATCTCTATGTTAATAAAATATGTACTTGGAAGAATTAAGTTTCACATTAATATCTGGCTGTTCAGTGTCTGCATGAGAACCTGTGTGCAGTTTGCCTCTTTTTTTATTGACATGGGATTGCTTTGCCAAAGAAGATTTTGGAGGATCACCAGGGATAACTCAGATTGCATAATTTATATTGCTGATGAAGGAAAAAATGGTACTTTATACAAGTGACTTCTCCTTGGATATTGGAAACATTCCCAGAGCTTTCTCGGAAGTAGATGGATTATATACATTCTCTAATACCAATAGTGGTTAAGTGTTTTTAGACTTAACAAGATTAAAACAAAAAGGTGCAGAACAATCTAGATTTGTTCTGATTGTCAGATTTAATCAGATTTAGGTCAGAAAAATTATGTAATGAGCTGATACTTTTAAAAATGAGGGAGCAGGGGACATACATATTTCTGTCCTCAAAATGTAGCTTTTGTTGATTTCTTAAATAATGCATATAAATTTTATCTGCTATAGCTGTCATTAGGATCTAGTGGTTAAATACATTGTCATTTTGGTTGCTTCCCAGCTGTGGATCGATCTATGTCGTCAAGTCTCTCAGACACAGGAGATGCTTTAGTGAATCAGCTGTCTCAAATGCGCAGCACTCTGCGTTGGTCGCACCCAGCTCCCTCAGGTTGTTCCCTCTCTATGTTTTGGCCCTGCTCAAACAGGTAGCTTTTTATACACTGTTACATTTAATAACTTCTTTTACAATTCTTGATACATAGGTGAAGAGATGAAATCTAGGTTTTCTGGATTAAAAAAAAATATGTAGGTGACTTGCAAGTAACATAGGAAGAGTTTTGAAGAATGGTAAAAGATGAGTGGAAAATGAAGTTATACGAATACGTGACGATGTGGAAGCATATGCCCTCTTTAATATGTGGGAGCAGCTTGAGTAATGCTGTTCAGACAGCGCACTCTCAGTGTGTGCTATGGGAAAGGACCCACTGTTAGTTGAACATCTTTCCAAGTCTCAGGCACTGTTGTAGGTGTTACATAGATATACGTATCATCTAATTTAATCCTTATAACAGCCTAGGGAAGTAGTATTTTTCTGTTTTTCTTATGATGACAATATAGCTTTGAGAAACTAAGTGACTTGCTCACATACATATCTATTAAATGTCAGAGCTGAAAATTGAATGCATGTCCGTCTGATTTGAAGGTCAAGGTCTTTCCATGACTGATGGTATACATCTGTTTAATATTGTCTGGTATATTTGTGTTTTACTTGAGAAACGTTTATCTTTTTTCATTTAGAAAGCATTTAGAACCGGTACAAGCACACGCCTCGATGATCGTGTGTATGCTGTATGTGTCAGATAAAGTGTCAGCCACTTGTTCATCTAATGAAAATGATTCATCCCAACTTACACAGGATAGACAGATTGACAGATGAGGTATGATCTCTTTTAGAGCCTTTGACATTTTTAAATTTAAATATATTTTAAATATTCTTGATTCTGTAGCGAGGATAGTAATGTATTATTAACACCAGTAAGGATACTAGCTATGTATTTGATTAGATGATAGATCTATTAGATACTGTGTAGGTTATAGAGTTTTAAAAAATAGTTTCATATGGGCAGTAATTCACTATGTGGGTTTGGTTATACTATTTATTACAAGCAAAGGTATAGGGTGGACGTTTCCATTTATATCTTGTAGATACTGACTGTACTGATGTGATTAGAGTGTATTTTTGATTATATAGTAAATCAAATTTGGTATCCAACAGTATTTTTAATATGCAAATATGTGTCTTTTTTTTCTTCCTTGTGTTAAAACTCTTACTCTTTGGAATCTTCTGTTTTGTTATTAGAGAAATGTAAAGAAGTAGCTTGCTTTGCAGGAAATTTAATAGTCATACTTTTAATACATATTAATCCCAGAAGGGAAGGATATGGTTATAATGTTTTATGTATTCATGTTTTTATCTTTTTAATTTGAGTATGTTTAAATGTCATGATTCTACCATCAAGGTGGCAATGTATTTTGTCAATAATTTTTTGCATCCTACAAATTCATAAGTGTCATCTTTCAGTATTTCATCAAGAGCTAGGGCCATTAGGTTCCAAATTGTAATGATAGTAATGTAAG